CTCTACAAGCAGCAAATCTGCTTCAGTTCATAGAATTTAAAACATTATGAGTACAAGGTTCAGTAATATACATAACAGCCTAAAAATATACTATATTTGTTTTTTTTTTCTCTAAAAGCACTGTTGTTTTTTGGGTTTATCTTCAAAGATTTTATTAACTTCTGCACAACATAAAACTTGTAGACACTGTAAAATAAACAAGTCTGAACTCCATTATCAAATTTTGTAGAAACGTTTTTAAATGTTACTTTACACTGACATTTTGATGATGGCTGTATTTTCTTTATACTCTCCACTTCAGGACAAACTAAATTAAAGTACTAAATAAACCAAGATAAACATTATTGTGTTTCCAGCTTCAGTTAAAACTGACTTGATTTGTTGTCATTATTATTTCCCAACTTACTGGAATCTACCACTCGCTTCTTTGTCTGAGCACAAAGACAATACTCATTAAAACCCATTAAAATAAAAACCAAAACGACTCAGACAGAYACAGAAACAGGGTGGAGTGCAATGTTGGACATAAATATTTTCCACAGAGAGAGCAGTGGGTAGAACRTCCAAAGAGCACTTCAGTTTTTATTAGGAGCAATTAGGTCTTGGTTAGAAAATGTCCTTATAAGAGAGGAACAAAGAGCTCTGCCAAACTGAATGATGGAGGGAGGACAGCGTGGAGAGGGAGGGACACCGAGGCTTAAATGATGCGATGAAGAAATCAGTCACCAACGTGTTTTCAAAGCCATTCTGCTTTAAAACTTTATGCCATAAWAATACAAGTTTGTGCCCTAGGAAGGTCGGGGGGGAAATTGTGTAGGACTGAGCGAAAACAGAAATGTTTAGTTTGGATGGCGCCCAGAGGAAAGGACAAGCTGATAAGACTGTGAAGTCCCAGATTGTTGGATGTGCTGTTGGTGCCTCTGTTGCTATGTTGTTCTAAGTATGTGAACAATAACAAAAAAAGTGGGAAGGTCATAGCCTTTATGAGAACAAATACAAAAATAGGGCCAACACACACATAAAGGAACATTTATAGCACCTATTTATTGCACATATGTTCTGTTAATACATATATGTTGATGTGTCATTTGAAGGGACTAAAGTTCTTGGAAATATGTTGTAATTAATGTTCTGAGTTTATGTAATAACACCAGTTAKTTTTGCTTGTGACCTCTTCAAGTTCTGAACTTACTATTGCCCACCTCTAACATGCACATGTCTGTGTGTTCTTCTGTCTCACTGYTAACAAAACATCACGTGAACCACTGGAAATTTTATGTGAAATTTGAATGGAACTTGCAGAAAGTAATTATAGAAGTACAACAAWTTTTTGGAGTGACCATGCTTGTGTATAGAAAAAAATGTACTTTTCCACAGGAACACTGACAATTATATGTGTTAGATTGAAATAAACTGTGCCATTTTACATCTGTCATATTCTAGTTTCTCTAAAAACAYTTTTTTGTTTTGTTTTCTGAAAACTAAAATGATCATTTCAACAATTAACTTTAAGGTGCTTTTGAATTAAAATAATTCACTGTGCATTTGTAGCCAAAAAGCACCATCTGCTGGTGATACTGGTGACTTATTTTTAAAGAATTGAGAGTTTGTCTAAAATTTCTGTCTGAAAAGTTTTTGATCAGATGACATTACTTCGATGAGATCTTGAAGCAACACACCGCTGTGATTAAAACTTACAGCACATGTGAAGCATGAAGCTGAGAGAACAATCAGACACCTGAGAAAGTGATGATGATGATGATGTAAGGAGAGGGGAGGTTCAGAATGTGAAAATAGGAGGGGTCTTATTTTATTACACATGAACACAAGAGGGCAATATTGTGTAGCCAAAAGAGATGTTCCCTGTAAAGCTGTGKATTATGAAACACATATTCCGAATGCCTGAAACCTCCAGCATTCTCAGGTTCACTGAAAATACCTTGGGATAATGTTCTGTGATTTCTTTCATCCTCATGGATCTTATTCTGCTGGTCCCGATTTATAAAGTGATGTTATGAGTAAAAAAATCTTACTTTTCACACAAACTTCATCACCACGGCTTGAGTAATGCAAGAACAATAAGAAAAYCGATGATGTTAAATGAACTCAAACTGTGAGCATGCAGGATATTCAGATAAATTAATGAGTTTGTAAAAAGTCTGGAATAAGGCATCTCCGTGTTGAGGGAACTTTCAGGGAAATGCTAATAAGAATAATAATCTGAAAAAAAAATAAGACCTTCAATATGTTAAAGGGACACGTGAAACCAAGCAAATAATGAAATGTTTAATAAATAACAYGAACAACACAACAACACATTCAACATTAAAAGCTCAAATTCATTTTGTATATATACACATACTGTAAATACTTTCATATTTGACTGTATAAACCATAAATATGACATACAGTCCTTATAACTTAAAAACAACCAGGACTTCTCTGACTGAGGTAGGGTCAGGGKACTGAGGGGTTTAGTAAAAGTGTGTATGTGTGTGTTGACTGAATGCTGTGCCCAGCGGGAGTGTGTGATTTGAGGAGGAGGATAGGACTACAGTATTGGCTTGGCAAGAAAGCTGCAGTGGCTGTTTGGTAGAAATGTGTGTGCTTTCATAGTCCAGTGGTCAAAAAACGTCCTCCTCTGTCAATGATAAGACTTCTTGCTGAGAACACACACGCACGCGGCATTGATGCGGATAAAACGCCAGGCTGTCCGTTCCTTAAAGACGGTCAGGGCACTTACAAATATGTGTGTGTTGGTGCAGTAAGAGTTCCAGTGGCGACTGTCAATGCCGAGACAACCCGAGTTGCCTGATTTGGAACCCCGTTTTCCTCCTCGTCCTCCAGGCCGCCCCCCGTTTGCGGCCGCGGAGCCCCTGTGTGTTGGGGATCGGCAGGTGGTCTCGTAGAAGAACTGTTTCTTTACCACATTGTTGATTGTGACATTGGGGAGCACGGTCACCTCGTTTCCAGCTATGTCTGTGGCTCGTGTCAGGTTTCCCACCCAGGTGTTTATGCTGTCACATACTGAGTACTCCCCTCGATGCATGGTGTGTGATCCTGCTTTGCGCCTCACCCTGACTCCTCTGACACCTTCAGTGATATAGTCCTCACCTTCCAGGGCATCGTGTGACGGGGGCTCCTCACTAAAGACAACACGGGGCGAGGGGCGGTAGCGCCTCTTGGAGAAGAGCTTGGGGTCCACAACTAGGCTTGAAGGGTCGGGGGAAGAACCCGCTGCGGAGCGACCGACGACGAGGCTCCTGCTCTGCGTGTTCGAAGCTGCCCGGTGTGGCCTCTTGGTCCTGTGATGGGTGGTCCTATGATGCTGCTGCAAAGTGTGGTCCTGAGAGAGGTGGTCCCTGGCTGCTGTTTCTTGCTGTCCTGCTCTGCGATTGGTTGTCCCRGTACTCCGGGTCAATCCACCTCCCATGTTCAATACAGCCTGGACGCCAATCAGGAGGAGCAGGACCAGTGGTGACGACCTCATGGGCACACGTCCTGTGCCAAGGACAGGAAAACAGTGTTAGTGTCTACATCAAAAGCTTAAATTCTCTCAAAGAGCAGGGCCTCTCAGACAAAGTAGACATTTGCCATGAATGGGCATTTATTTGATGTTAGTACCTCTGACATTTCATCTTAAAAGCTAGATGGCTCAATTTAAAAGCACTTCGATTTAATAATAACTAGTTGCAGCACTACGTTTGTCCAAATAGAAGCTGTACTTAAAATCTATCAGAAGTAAATTTGAAAGGTGCTTTCGATGAGTTGCCAGTTTTATCACCGCGGGAAGGTTTCAGTCCAATTTAGGTGTGTCTTGTTTCATGTACTAGGTGTTTATAAGTACCTTTGAAATGTGTCCGGTTGAAGTGAGAGCCCTTGTGGACTCTAGAGCCAGACTTGAACGAAGGCAGGGCCCATCATGGTTGCCATCTGGACCCTCTGATTCACAGTCCTGCAACCCAAACACAGAAACTAAGCACTTGTAGAAAATTCATTTAAAGAAAAAGAAGAGCTCTCAATTATTAGAAATGACTTAATGCACTTGAAGAATGGAGGACTGTTTAACAAATATCTTTGTCACCTTACATTGTAAACCTGGAGAAGTTCAATCTACTTAAAAAGAAATCAAGGTTACTTGTTGCCTTAATTTTTTTTAAGTAATGAGTTGAATAAGTGCAGTGGACTCTCATCAATGTACTTTAGGCCCTAATGGAATGAAATGTTTAAGTTGAATGTACTAATAACAGAGTTACACTAATTGATACTTAGTTTAAACATGTGTTAATTCAAGGCCCAAGGGCTGCATTTGGCCCACGGTTGACTTCCATCTGACCCGCCAGAGAAAAATTTATCGGAAGCTAATGCTTAATCACTAATATTTACCATTTTAACACCCAATGCACTTTGGGTTTCACTTTCTATGCAAATAACCACAAAATAATAAATAAAATTAAAGCAAATGATGGAGATGTAAATATTTTAAAAAATCCCAATAATGTATACACACACACACACACACACACACACACA